TGTGCAAGGCTGGAATCAAGCCAGATCAAGCCCTGCCAGGATGTGATTAATTCAGCATAGGCATCCAACGACTTGCCATATAATGAGGTTATATTGTAACTATTAAACATAGTCAGGATTTCTGGCTCCATGCATCAAAGTCTCCATGAGCTGTGTTTTCTAACCTCCTCCTGGTTATGGCAGTGACTACCATGAACTCTCACCTAACTGTCCAGTGCTGGGAGTAAGTTTGTCATATCCTCAGGTTTAGATAAGTACCACTGCCTCAATTCAATCACTGGTTTGGTTTACCAAGCTGTTCCTCCAAAATGACTTTAGATGCTCTTATTCTACTAAGGTACTTGGCTGACATTTTGTATGGGATAATTTCTAAAACATGAACTATATATTACATAGAGAAAGATGACATGCCTATATATGGGCATTTACTGATACTAAGCTTTACATAACCATGAGGCCCTTTATAGAAAATACTTTTATTCAGTAACTCCATGAATAAAACTCATTTCTTAGGATCAAGGAAAGGTTTATAAATACTTGGACATGACTAGCAGGAAAACATCCTCCAATTCAGCTAAAAGTAGCTAATAAATTGGACTAATAAATTTTAGGAGAAGTAATAAAAAATATTTTGAAAACACTCAAGAATCCAGGAATATTCTGTATTTACAAAAGAACTATAAACAGTAATATAGCTCACTATATTCTGTCATATAAACTGTCATATAGCTCCCTTTTCACTAGAAATGTTAGTTATCTTAAAGGCAAAACATCAAATAAATATGTTTGTGTGGAGGGGAATGTTTTTTGTTTTCTTTAAAACACACAAGCAATGTATTTTCTTCCTCTTTTCCAACATTTGCTTTCTACTCATTCACATGATCTTGAAAATACTCATCCACAAGTGCAGATTTATCTTCTTCATATTCCTGCCAACGAGAAAACAAAAAGCATAAAACCTGACTTTTCTCTAGTGACTGCTGGACATCGTCAGTTCTGCAATGCTTTATTTTAGTCACTACAACAATGCCCAACATTGTTCTACAAAACAAGGAGCAAAACCTTCTGAAAAGCAGTTTGTGTCTAAAGCTATCCAAGATGTATACATCAAAATCTAGATGTAGTTATTTTGAATATTTAGAGAGTAGAAAATTGAATTTTAAAAAACGTTATAGAACTTCTGGACTTATTCCCTACGATATATGAACTGAATGATAAAAGTAAACAGAGCTTGGAATTGATTTTAATCCATCTTTAATCCAATTGATCTTCCATCATGCATTTTACATGACGGATGTATGAAAGATTAGGAATGGTTTTACAACACATGGACTCAATGCAGAAATTTTAGGGGAAGCTTGAACAGACATGCAGGTAGAGATCTTAGTGGTCTACAATCATCTTTTCTCATCTTTAGAATTCAAAGAACATATTTCTATTTTGATTTGTATTATGGATCCTTTCTAATGTTTCATCTTATCTTCAGAAGTACCTTACCTTTGGTTCTTTAAATTCAAGATCTTCTCCATACTGGATGGTAGTGTCTATGTGCTGCAGAACTATGTTTATACTTTCCTCATCAGAGCGATCAAAAGGTAGAAATCGAACCATACCATAGTCGTCAATCTACAGCAAGGATTCAAAAGACATCAGTAGGGAAATACACTAAGTTTTCTTGCACCATTCCTGCAAGCTATGCTCAGCAGTCTGGACAAGGAAAATCTAAGGCTGCTTAAAGCCACACTGCAAGCTAATGGCAATTCCCCACTCTGAATTCCTGGCTGTCAGTCCAAACTTTTACCCAGTCAATAAAGCTGTCTCCTAAAATTGCTAATAGAATATGATTCACATGAATTTTACTGGCTACAGCAAAAGAATCTTATGCTAACCTGAACCATCAAAAGCTGAAGTTAGGACAGGCAAAAAGAAAAATGTTCAAGTGCCTGGTGATCTTTTAGATTCAGGCTTTGCTAATAAATTTGCAGGTAAACACAATGACCTCAGGGGGCAGGGGGAGAATGTTATAGTACATACAGTATCTAGCACAGCAGCAAAGTCAGTAACCACAAAGTATAGTTTACAAGTATGCAGCTGAATTAAAGAATACCAGTTAAAGAGCACTATACGTACCAATCCACATATGGACTTAGTCAGTTTTTTAAACATTTTGCTTTTCAATATATTAGTAGAATCTTCAATCATAGAATACATATCTGGATCTAAGTACCTGAGAGAAACAAAGCCATCATTAACAACAAAATACAGAACAAATGAGTCACTATGCTTTTACACAACTACCACAACCACCCATCATTCTGTGATTGTGAGTGAAGTTTACATCAAGATATTACACTACAGAGAAAGTAATGCTTTGGAACTTACTTTTCTATTTCCTTCTTAGCTTTCTTGCTCAGCAAATCCATTTTAGTCATGATGTTAATCTGTGGAATCTCTAAAGAGATCATTGCACTGAGTGCTGCCAGAATTCCAGATATAAACTTAAGGAATATGAAAAATGTAGTTAAGTACAGAAAAGCAGGACAGTACCACAGACCAAGCCTAACTTATAATATATTGTACATGGGCATGAGGAATCATTATCTCTGTTGGAAAAGGGAGGTGCTAAGGTACCTGGCTGCAATCTATTTCCAGAGCTCTGAAGCACGATATGCCACCGAAAAGGAAATTAAGAAGACTGAAAGCCCTTCTCAGGATTCTTATTGCTTGACAGGGAAAGGGGTCATTCTCTCTCTAAACTGAGAAAGCTCCTATAGAACAACAATTCAATTTAGGTTGAAATGGACTTTAAGACACTGTCTGGTCTCTATAACTGAGGCAGCTGAAGACAGCAATCAGATCTCTCCCCGCTTAGCATTCCTTCCTTTGGACCAAACAAACCAAGTTCCCTTTCTTATTCTATACCAGTATGGACTCTGTAAAACTTTACAAGAATTTGTACAAGATTTCAAATGGATACCTTAAAAGACTCCACCATGAACTGAGAATCGACAAGAAACACTCCACAGACACGGAATTCCCACTGCTGAAGCTGTTCCACCAGCTGTTTCATCACTGGCAAATGTGTATAGAGTTCGATCTGACCTAAGACACACTTTGGATATCAGTATGCAGAAATGTAAAGCTAATAGAAACAGCTCACAGTTATTAGTGATAGAAATATTGGCATTACACTTAATATGAATAACAGCTAATAAAGCACTCTTTTCAGACAACTGTGCCTGTATTTGGATGGAATCATACAGTAAATCTGGAGAAGAAAAAAAAACTGTATTTTCCTCTCTTGATCTCCAGTTAGCATTTGTTAGCAGTTGCCATAGACTTCCCCCACTGTATGCTGTCACCCAAATTCAAATGGGGCCAAGTTCACTTCTGAAGCATCTGAAAGTGACTCTTGACAACCATTAATAAACCAAAAAATGTATGAAAATGAGGCTGAGGGGAGACCTCACCACTCACTACAGGAACCTGAAAGGAGATTGCAGCAAATCATGTGACAAGAGATAGAATGTGAGGAAATGGCATTAAGCTGCACAGAGGGAGCTTTAGATTGGATGCTGTATGGGAACTGTTTGAACCACTGACTGAGCACCAGGAGAAAAGACCTGGTCAGCCCTGGAAGCACAGGTGAAGGCAATTCATGAGTGTGACCAGAAGGGGTGGAGCCTGGCTCTTAGATCTCATTTAAGGGCTGACTGCCACTGTGGAAGGATCTCTTTCTGGAGATTCCTCCTCTGTGGAGTTTTCTCTACAAACCTAGATCCTCAGAGATAGGTGAGCAATTCTTTTGTTTCTTATGTAGTATCTTCCTATTGCACTGGTCTTTCTGCCATTACAGATGTCAGGAAGAATTTTTTCATGGATTGGGCTGCCCTGTGGTGAATCTTCCAGCCCTGGACTGAGGGGAGACCTCATGGTAGCCCAAAGCTCCCTCACAATTGGAGCAGATAGGAAGTGCTGAGCTCTGGTGGTAGTGACAGGGGCTGAAAATGGCATGGAGCTGTGTCAGGAGAGGGCTGTCAGACTGGGTATTAGGGAAAGGTTCTGTATTAGAACCAGAGGGCACAGCCCTGAGCTGCCAGAGTTCTAGAAGCATTTGGACAAAAAGGTCTCAGACCCAGGGTTTGGATTTTGGGTGGTACTCTGTGAAGCCTGGGATTGGACCTGATGATCCTTACGGGTCCCTTCCAGCTCAGGATATTCTATGATTTGGAATTTCGGGTCACGGTTCTGTGGTGGTTCTGGCAGCATTATGTGGTGGTTGGACTCGACCAATTCATGGCTCTTTTCCAACCTCTGCATACCAAGTATGACATCAAAACACACATATCTGTTTACCTGGGCAGTCAAACAGTATATAATCATCCTCCACGTGCCCGAGGCTTTCCTCCAGCCAGTTGAAGTTATTGGCAAAGTACTCCATGCAGAACACCAGGCCACCATTGGGACCGAACCGCAAGGAATCATCTTCCATCACATCATCCACCTCGATGAGCTCCCGTATGTCTGCAACAACACTACGCTTACGGACGTGGGCAGCACAAGGCTGCCATGATAAGCTCCTGTCCCCCCAGCTCTCTCCGGACGCCAGGTAGGGGCAGAGTGCACTCACCTGCCATGACGGGATAGCTGAAGAACTCGGCGGCCGGGTCCAGGTTAACCACCTGCACGGCGCGGCCCAGCGCCTCGCAGTGCTGCAGCATGGTGGAGCAGTACGTGCTCTGCAAGGCACACGCACGCTGTCAGCGCCCGCTCGTCGCCATTCCCCCCCCCGTCTCTCCGACCCTTCTCACCTTGCCGCTGCCCGCCGGGCCCATCACCAGCTGCGCGTAGCGCGGCATGCCGGCCTCCGCGCAACGCAAGACCGGCGGCGCTTGACCCCTCCGCTGCTCCGTAGCGCGAAGGTCCCGCGGGTGCCTCCCGGCTACGGAGCGGCTGAGGGCTCAGAACGAGCAGCTCTCGCGAGATTTCGGTGGCGGCGCAGCGAGGGCGCGCGTGCCGTGCGGTGCGTGCAGCTGCAGCCGCCGCCTGAGGAGGAGCCGCGGCCTGAGGGGCCGCCCGGGTAACGCCACGGTGCTGCGGCCGCCGGGCTCCGCGCGCCTCTCTGCCTCATTTCCCCCCTCCCACGCTCCTCATGGCACCCTTCCCCACCCCGCCTGCTGTCCCCCGGTCCCTCTGCACCCTCCCGGCCCCTGTCGGAGCCCAGCAGCCTACCTACCCGTCGTTGCCCGGGGCCCGTCGCCGCCTCTTGGGGGTTCCCTGCCCCTCCCCGCCCCTCGGGCTCCCGGGTCCGTTCCCTCGGCTGTGTTGCGGCTCCTGCTGGCTCCGAGTCTTCGCAGACACAGCCCTGGTGGTCCCGGGGCTCCGTCGTGCACTGAGCCCCACTGTTGGTTCCTATTTTCGAAGCCCCTTACCTGGAAACGCGTGCCTATAAACCGCTGCTGAGGGTATCAGTTGAGTCGGGTTGGCTTGTGATTTTTTTAATTTAATTTTAGTTTTTTGCCGTTGTCTTCAGATCAGCTCTGGACTTCTCAGACACTGATTTAAATAACCTCTCATTTCCAAATGCACCCCTTCCACACCGTGCTGCCACTGCTCACCTATCACTGATAAAATACCCCGTGTTTTGCTTCGGTTGCTCTGTATCTCCATGTGTTGTTCATGCACATCTTCCTTCATTTTACATTGAATTTTGTTCCAATTTGCTTTCTCCCTTATGTACTACAATTCCAAAGTTCTTGGTATCTTTTGCATCTGCTTTTCGCTGTTTCTTGACAGCTGGTTTTTTTTTACTCCTTGACTACTTCTCTTACAGTTGCACCTCTTTTCTCTGGGCTTTGTAGCTTGGTCATTCTCTGGGGGTTTATTATGTAGGCAATGATGTAAATAATACAGAACATAACACGACTCTTTGATTTTGCAACCTGCAGGCTTGTGACATGGCCACAGACGTAGCTGAGCCTGTGGTCCCTGACTGTAGAGGAGACATAAGGAGTGGTGCCAAGTCGGATGCTGACTACCCTCTTCGGGTCCTCTACTGCGGAGGCAAGTGCTGAAGGGGCAGCTGCCCACAGTTCTTACAATGGGGTGTTAGTAAGGGCAGCCAAGCAGAAAAAGTGAGACGGTTGGAGGTTCTCTTTTGGTCAGCTTTGAGTCAGATAGACCATGGTCAGGGTGACCTTTCTGATGGAGGTGCTGATGATTTTCTGTATATGAAAGCTCTGGAGTGGTGCTCAGACATTTTGAGCAAAGATTTGTTCCCACAGAAAGTTGGTAAAACCTTTAGCACAGAAAAGCCTGTTGGTATGAGAGCAAGGAATAAAGGGAAGTAATTGATGCACTGTTTGGGACTATGCTTTACTCATATTTGTAGTCATGTGTCTGGATTTTTAAAAGGATATAATGTTGAGGTCTGTGTTTTAGATAAATATGTATTTTGCATTGGGTTTGAATACTGTTGCAGGATTCCTATTGTGAACGAGGCTGCATTGTTGGTTTGGGTGTGTTCTGTAGGATGAAGACCACCCAAGAAATTGGGCATCTGTCATAGCTGCTGTTCTGATAGATTTATCTTAATGCACAGCATGAAAGCAAATGACTAAGAGAAAAAATAGAGTGGTATCAGTTGTCATCTTTTGAATCAGCATATGTTTATTACAAGATGTTGTGATGAAAGAAAGCTTCAGAATACCAGTTTAACTAGAACACTAACGCTGTAAGCGGATAACTCAATTTAATTTCTTTTTTTTTTTCCCTCCTGCTCCAGTCTGTTCATTGCCAACAGAGGTGAGTTAGTTTTTTTGTTTCTTCTTTCCATTGTATGACTTCTACAATGATTCTTTCTGATCTTTTCTTGCTTTCAGTTGTGCTGATTCTGTACTTTTATCTGCTGTCATCTTTAGGATATCATGTGTCTTCCTGTGTGCTGGTGAAGCATTGGTATTTGGAGAGCTAAGGAGAAATGACTGGGCTAAATAAATAGCAAAAGGATTTTGTTGTTTTTGTTCGTGATGTATCTTGTAATTACTTTGCTAACAGCATTTATGTGGCCTTTCTTCTCTAGTACTGCGAATATATGCCTGATGTGACTAAATGCAGACAATGGTTAGAAAAGAATTTTCCAGATGAGTTTGCAAAACTTACAGTAGGTGAGAATCTTCCTTTATTCCTGGTTAATATGTGTACTTGGACGTACTCACAAATTCTTGAGCGTGCCCATTTCTCATCTCTTCCATCTGCATTGAGTCTGAAAATTAAATTATTTTCCCAAACGTTTAGCATGCTTTTGGATGCTGTGAAAACAAGTTTGATAATGTCAGAAAAAAATCAGAAATAATGTTTGGCCCGTATTAAGGTTTCTACAATGAGCACTGTGACAGCATGCAGTTGCTTCCTGTCAAAGCTAATTTATCCAATTTTATGTCTTTGCAGTGTAGGCAGTGGGTTGCTGGGAGACAGGTCATTAGTGCTATGGTACTTGCTGATTTGAATTTCCAGTGTCAGTAATTTTTGTCTTTTTCTGGAGATTACTGAAGGAGACTATTAAAGTTGTAACTGTATCTTTGATATGAAGGTCACAAGCCTAATTTGACCAAAGACTTTAAGGAACATGCATCAGTCAGGGGTTGCTGCACTAGAGCTAACTACTTAGGGGCCCACTGAAATGTCAGTGTAGCTGATTTCTTGTTTCTTTAAGGGCATGTGTTAGTCACTGCTAATTTTGTTCTTTTGTTCTCTCACCATTCCTCTCTGATGTATTTAAGAAAATTCACCGAAACAGGAAGCTGGGGTTGGAGAAGGCCAAGGAACTGCAGGAGAAGAAGAAGAGAAGAAGAAGCAAAAGAGAGGCAAGGTCTAAATAGTTGCTTGTGGTATTGATTTATAAGCTCTTGGGGTCATCTTTTCCTGATCTGTGGGTTTAGACTGTGACACAGCTTCCTTGCTTTTTGGTTGTGTTAGCTATGCTGTGACTGCAGAAAAAGTATCAAATAAATTCCTTTCAATTAGCAGCAGAGTTTGCACAGAGGAATATGCTAACAAAGGAACTGTACAGTAGTAGCAGTAAGTGAAAGGTGAGCTTCTTCTATGTGCTCCTGTCATTGCTGTGGCACTTATTCAGAGAGTACTTATTCTCAACTTGAAATCAGCTGGTGTACCTCCCAAAAGGTTTCTGCTTTGTGTAGCAGCAGTTCATAGGTTGCTTGCAGAGTAGAACAAAGATTGCTTTCCTCTCTCAATGCCTCAAGCCACTACTTTTGCCTTTTTTTCCTTCTGTCTCTCCCCAGAATTCTCGTAACAGAATTTGGTTTTACACTTCAGCTCTATTTGTCTCCATTAACAGCTGTGTCTGTTCTAGCACAGATAGAGCTATGCACTATCTAAGAACAGATACTGTTTTATTGTTGGATTTCTCTGTTTAATTAACATAGTTTTCCACCATAAATTAGAATACTGTGGTTATTAATACATATTTGCCTGTCTGATGTCAGCTGTGCCTGTAGTGCTTCATAAATGATGGTTTGTAGCCCACTGAGATTCATATTTTAAGCAACATATCCCTGCAATGTTTTATTTGTTTGCCTTGGTAACCAGTTATGTTTATCCTTGTCCATGGGATATATGTAGTGACAAAAGTAACTTTATATTCTCTAGCTTGGGTGCTTTTTTTCAGACGCTTCAGAACACTTTCTTTAAATGTTATGTCATTGTGTGGCATGCTATGGATAGTTCTCAGCTTGGCTTTGGTCATAAAATAAATGTTTAAAATATTTGTGGGTGAAAATGGAAATCCAGAAATGGAATCTGAAGTTTTGTGACAATTTAAAGTATAGTGTAAAGTATGATGGCACAATTCTGAAGAGAGAGGGTGAGAAGAAAACAAACAAGCAGAAATTTACTGCAGGTATTGACTGTAGAAACTTTGAGAGAGAAATTTACTGCCTTAAGTTATTATATGCCAATTTCTAGTAATGCAGAATTGAAATTGCTGCATTTTAGGGGGAAAAAAGCATTCACAAGAAGTTAGTTTGCTGGACATAGATTCTTAAAAGTTTTCTTGGTGAGAAAGCTCTGGAACAGTACTTTAGTTACCCTGGAGTAACTTGATGAGTGTATACAAAGTTAGCTGAGATCATAATCTGATTTGAAGAATTCTAATGAGTGGGATTAATCTTCTGCATGCCTTACTCTGACTTATATTTACCTAATTTGTGAAGCATTCCCTCAGGTTGCCCTAGAAATAGACAGTAAATAAGAAATGAAATCATGTGCAAGTTTGGCAGTCAACTACTGTAGCTGCCTTCTGCTTGAGGTGTGGTGTTGTGATGGGGCTGGGTTTTTTTCCCGCTAACCTTTATATAAATTTGTTTTGTACTGCAGTCCTGTGTTGACACTTAGAACGTCATGTGCTGTTTAACACAGCAGTCTAAGCAGGCAAGGTTTCTTAGCCTTAGTAAATAGACATAACTAATTTTCTTTGCCTCAGACAAAAACCATGAAGATATTAAAGTAACAATTTGTTCCTAACTAAGATGAATACCAAAGAAAAATCCTTTAAAGAGGAGTGTAAACCAAATGCAGTGGTTAGTGGAATGTGGGAAACTCCCATCAGGGTTCTGATGTGCATTCTGTACTTTAATGCACATTTGACATGCATATGTTGGTATTTCTTGTAACATTAAGTTTTGACCTAGGATCTTTCTTTTAAGAAATTAAATTAAAGGGTTCTGAATGGGAGATGACTAACATCCAAAATACATTTTTGTTTACAGACACGGACTGGGAGATAGGCTTTTTTGTTTACAGGACTGAAATGTAGCCTTATAGTCTTTTTTTCTTTAACTGTTATGTCCTTTAACTAATCATCTAATATATTCTGCTTTAAAGGTGGAAGAGGTCAGATAAAACAGAAAAAGAAGACTGTACCACAAAAAGTCACAATAGCTAAAATTCCTAGAGCAAAGAAAAAATATGTCACAAGAGTCTGTGGCCTTGCAACGTTCGGTGAGTTGACATTTGTTAGGTGTGTTGTGTAGGTTTTAGATGTGCTTGCCCTCAACCTCACCTGATCTAGAGTCTTAGCTTCTTTAACGTGAGGAGAAAAGGTAACCTTTAAGGTATTTCTTCTGATTGTGTTACTTTGAGTGGTTTGCAGAATTTCAGTGGAAATACTGCAGTCTGGATTTTAAACTACCACTGGTTAATACAGTTAGTTTTAATTATGAGAAGATCTGGTATGATGATGACTGTACTTAAACTGTCGGTTTTCCCGTACACAGAAATTGATCTTAAGGAAGCACAAAGGTTTTTTGCTCAGAAATTTTCCTGCGGTGCCTCAGTAACAGGAGAAGATGAAATCATCATCCAGGGCGATTTCACAGATGACATTATCGATGTAATCCAGGAGAAGTGGCCTGAGGTAATCAGTGATTTCTTCTGTAAGAGCTCTAGTTTTCAGTAATAGCCTGCGACGTTTCTAGTGATTTTCAGAAGCAGATGTAATCTTTGGCAGCACAGGCTGTTGTGCAGAAGTAAACAACCTATTGTTGCCCCCTTAGCTATGAACCATTAGGTTAAGGAGTGATTAAAGTTGAATTCTGTTTCAACGGTCCAAAAAAAACCGAAACTCCCAGAGCGTGGAGTGCTGAAAGCTTCCCCACTTCATTGCACGTACAGCAATGAGACATGCAAGAAGGAAATATATTTAATGTGCTGTTTTGGCTTTTGTTTTTTGTTCCCTAGGTGGATGATGATAGCATTGAGGATCTTGGAGAAGTCAAGAAGTGATGGTTGAAGACTACCTTTATTTAATTATATGGTTTTAAATGACATAGCCAAAGTTAGGCTTCTAAACCCATGGATTCTGCAGTGATGCTGTGGAGAGCCCACATCCTTGGCAATTTCACTGTTCTGTATAGGCTGCTTGGATTTTTTTGTTGTGATATTTGCTGAAGTAAAATTGGGGTCTATCATGCCTACGCATGAAGATTGAAATAAAATTCCTCTTCTTCACTGAAGATGGCTTCTGTTTTCTGAAGAGCTACTTTCATTCCTAATCTTACAGAGAAAAAATAATTTAAGTAATTAAGAATTTTCTGCTGAATGAAGCATTTCAGGCATACGTTAAGCATACAGAAGCATGCAGCTCTGACTTACCAGCATAAAATCTGAGAAATCAGAGTGGGAGGAACGCTCCACGAGTTTGCTTGCGGGAAAATGTATTTTAAAAGATAGTGGTGCTTCTAACGAGCTAGCTGCTCTGTTATAAAGCTTAGCAGGGCAGTTACTTCCATTCATTGACCTCCGGTTGGGTTCACGCGTGTCCGCTCAGCATTATTAATTTCCGCGTTTTTCCGAGCAGCTCGGCTGTCCCGCACATCCTAAGCTGGCAGCCCGCGGTCTCCCGGCCGGGACGGGATTCGAACCCGCGGTCCCTCCTCTGCGATGGGCGGCGCTCAACGGCTGCGTGAGGCGGGCGGCGCGGTGACGTCGCTCGAGAGCCTCAGTCCGTGTGGTGTTGGGGCCGTGCGGCTCTGTGTGGGATCTCCTCACAGATTTTAGAGGAGATTTGTTTATTTTAATCCGTTTTTGAGGCGTTTACGCGTCTGAGGCAGCCTGGGCGGGTCATCCTGTAACCGTGGGCTGCCTCCTTGACGCGTGTTCCAGTCAGAATCACTGCCCGACTTCCCGCGCAGCTCCCCCGGCGCTGCCGCGCTCGGCTTCTCCTCAGCGCTGGCTGTGGGGTGATTGCAGGCAGCACCCGCCAGCCACCACACACAGCGCCCGGTGGGGGTGGGCTCTGCCTGTAACGCAAAAACATTCGGACTTATAACCTGGAGTTCACTGTCAGGATCCTTGTGTTCATACGTGGTTTTAGCCATAGCTGTACAATTGTATCTGCTTAGTTCTGCAGTGAGCAAACAATACCCTCATAGCAAGAAAGCGGGGCACCTTGATGAGATAACAGCTCGTGTGTGAGCAGAAAGGCTGAGAAGTCCCGTGAAAGGCAGATGGAGGTGAATGTAGGGCTGCACGTGTGCCTGAGAGGAGTCGTGCTGTCTGAAGGGACGTGGTGTGCAAAAACATTAAATAAAATGGTTTTCAAGAGACTTACAAGCCTTCAGACCTGTGTTCATTAGAGCTTTGCGAGGCACGTTCAGTTTTTCTGTTGCAGGTAATTGGTGTGTTATCTTTCATGTTTCCATTTCCAAAAAAATTCTGTCGTCACTCCTTGTTCTGGAATTCTGCAGAATTTGGAAGCACATAATAACAATTTATGCTGAGCATCAAACAGAAATCAAGTTTCTGTAGTTTTGGTTCGGCGTGGTTTGCTTTTAGAGGACCACTGCAGTCCTGCAATAGAAATAGTGTTTATTGCTATGCAGCGTTTTCCTAAATGCATGCAGAGATGGCCCTGTCGATTTGGAAGGCTTTGAGTGTAATTTGACTGCAAATATATAAAAATAGCTTGTTTAGAACAAATAAAGCAGCACAGGTATGAAAAAAACTGACTTCCTTTCTGTCTTCTCCAGGATGCCAGTTCCTACACAAGTAAACTGCAGTGTGCGTTGCCTGAATCTCAACAGGTTGGCAGCTTAGCAATCTCTCCCACTTAAGCTCTCGCTGCAGTCCAAACAACAGCAGCATTAACACAGTGCTTACTGCTCATCTACAGCTGGGAAGAGTGGTTGTGAACGTGATGCTTGACCTGTGCAATGACACGATAAATAATGCTCTCCATGCTTTGCTGTAGAACACGTTTCAACATGTGTGAAACACTTAAATATTTCTGTTGGATTCTTTATGGCTCGTCAAGGTCATGATAGGATTTGACTTTTTCATGCATCCAAACAGATGGGAGGAAGAAGTCATTTTAGAGCAAGCTGTAGGAGGTCTGGAAAAAAGTGAACACAAGTGTGACTTTCACTCAGAACTGGTTTATTATCTGTCTGTATTTGTGGAAAGGAGGACAGTGTAGGAAAAGGTGATATATAGAATAGTTTTCTGTGAACTTAAACCTTACTCTCTGTGTAAACAACCATGGAATTTATGTGGGTTAATAGTTCTAGTTTCTTTCATTATAGGATCAGAGAACATACTGAAGGGAGAAAGAACCTGTGTATAGCTGTCATGGCAGTGCATGTAATCAATGTGAACTTTAATTGGGAGTTTTTGTTCCAAATACATGAGCAATAGAAGTAATTTGAGAAAGTGGCACTAGTTTGTTTTCATAAATATCCATATCAATTTCTGCCTTTTTTGTCATGATTTGTAGTGATTGTACCACTAGAAATGAGTAAACTAATGTGTATCACAAAGATAGGATTTGGGCTCTTGGTTTTAAATCAGGGTGCTGATGAAAAGGCTGCATGCTGAATCCTCAGCTCTGCTTTCCTCTGAAAGGTATTACTTCACCTTATAGCCTTAGATGAACTTGACCAGAATAATGTAAGTACCAGACAAACAAAAGGAGCTCTGATAACATTCAGAACCAGAAAACCTTAGTTGAGCTGGTACTGACTGAGAGAGTATAAAGATTGTGTGCCAGCATTTGCATAAACTGAAAGGGTATTTTGTTCGGAAGTTCATCAGCAGGATTTCATGCAGCGTGAAAGACAGCAGCAGCGCAGTGTTTTGCAAAGACTGTCTTATGGGTCGGATTCCTGAAAAGCCCTCTGCAAAACAGAGGTTGCTTGTGGCTGTGGCCCATCCCCATCAGATGTCTGGCTCCTGCTGGCTGATTGGCACGTCGCAGCTCAGCTGAACGCAGTCCGTCAGAGCACGATGCTGCTTTACAGCCTGATGCTGCAGTTGTGAGCTTGGAAATTAGCTTCTCCTTTGGAACGGTTGCTGTAGAAAATGAAGCACCTCCGTATTTACTGTCAGGGGTGTCTTCTGAACCACATCTGTAGGACTTTGATCTACTTTCAGAGCAGTTCTGGGCAGGAACTTGCCAAGCGTGTTCTGGTTAATCTATGCAGGCTAACTAATCTCTGCTTACAGCTAGCTCTACCTGAGGCTGTTTTCAACTCCGCTTTAAAACACAGTCTATCAAAATTAACCCTTGAAATGTGATCAGTTAGAATTTGTGCCTGATGAATTCTGTGCCGTTTGGAGGAGGGAGGAGGAGAGCAACTTGAAAAGTGTGTCATTGCTGCCTGCCAGTTTGAATCTGGCAGCTCTGTAATTTTGCATTGTCTGAGTTTTTTGATTTCCATGTTGTGTTTTTGCATTACAATACAGACAACCCAACTTGCAGAAACTCAAAATGGGACGCAGTTATCTGCTTCAGAAGAAGATGCTTAAGTTCTTGTTCTTTTCTCTATGATGCTTTGTATATTTGTTTATTTGTTTTCCAATTTGATTTATTTTTGTTTGTTTCCCTTATTTATAAATGCATCTCCAACATTAATCAAAGTCAGTGGATTTCTGAGATGAGCCTCTCAAAATTCCAGGTGCCTTGCTCTGAATGCATTTCCAATAAAACTCTTGTGTGTCCCATAGCAGCAAACAGATACAAAGGCAGCCAGTAATTCCTTTAGTCCAACAATTAAACTTTTCTCAAGCGTGTTCCTCATGATCCCTGCCCAGAAAAGCTCCAGCCAGTCACATCTTGCTGCTCCATTCCTGAGCTGCAGCCCTTGTACCTGCACACAGCTCATTGTAATTAGAGTCCTTCTGCAAGTTACAGATAACAGAGTCAAGGATACGAACATTGTTGAATAAGAGACTGGGAAGTGTTTTTCAGTGCCACGGCCAAGGGTTGTGTCAGCATATATTGTTCTGGGGCTCAGAGCTCCAAAAGTAGAATGTATTGAATAGAGCTGTTTCAAAAAGCAGCCTTGCCCATAGCAGATTGCTTTTTCTTTTGTATAAATCCCGGAAATTTCTCACTGTCTGATTATTTGTTCAACTAATGTGAATGGGATGCTTGCAACAGGCACCACGTTGTCTAGTTTTGTGGACAAAAGGGTAACTGGATATGGTTAAAGCCCAGAAAACCACATGAAATTGAATTAGAACTAGCGACAATGAGGGAAAAAATTAACAAAAAAGGAAATCTTCCAGTGCTACCAACACAACCCGAGAGCACGTCTGCAAAGGGAAGTGGGCACACAGCGTGCTGCAGTGCCAAGCTGTGTGGCACTGTCTCGTTCCTCATGGGAACACCAGGGATGCTTTTGTGCCACCTCGGTCCAGTGGGGAGCTGCTGCTGTATTCAGACTGCACGCCCTGCACTGGCTGTCTCCAGTGGAGCTCTCCCCTTTGTGCTCCTGGCAGCAGTGTTAGCTTACAGCCCTGCTCTGCTGCTGTTGCTGCAGGTACGCATTGCATTAAGTCGGGAAATGCTTGGTCTTCTTTCAAAAGAAGTTGGGTTTGCTTGGGGCACACTAATGGGGCTCTCAGAGGAAATGGATGCTGAGTAGCCAGAATGCCCTTACTTTGCTTTAATACTCCTGTGTGGAGATCTCTCCTTTCTCTACGGAGATGGGCTTTAGGCCAAAAGAAGCAGGAGGTTTTGTAGATCGAAACCAGCACTATGACTTGCATCCTGAAACCACTGATGTTTAAATGTTTCAGGAGCAAATCCCCAAAATTGCTGAGCACCGTGCTGATGCAGCACAGCGGTAAGCACATGCTTAGCCTACAGAAATAATCTCATTTGCCTCAAGTGAGAAAGAACTGGCACAACCATACCCACAACTCTCTGTAAATGCACAGCAAGATTTAGTGACCTGCAAGTCACTGGCTACTGAATAAGAAGCAGTATCTTCTCTTAATAAAGGGCACTGAATCAGCTGTGGTCAGTTCAATCATAAAAGGTGCAGGAGGAACGAACATGTTTCATACAGAAAAGTGTTTTTTTTTTTTACTTTATTGCTTTTAAGTCACTTGATGGCAGGTGCTGTGATAAGCACCAGGTGAATTGCCTACTGGCAATGATGCAGCCACTTTTATCAGTTGATCATTTTTCCTTTAGAGGAAGATTGAGTCGGGGAGAGCTGATGAGCCACACAAAGGAGGATAGCAACAGGAAAAAGTGCAGCAAAGCGTGTGCCACTGCTTGTGAACTGTGAGTCAGGAGGTGGCCAAGGGCACAAAGATCACTCACTTGCAAAGCAAACCGGAAAGATTTTTATTCTGTAACACACGAGTGGTATCCCTGAGGTCGTTGTCCGACTGTGCTGTGCTTTGCTTACCTTCTTATCTTTCTGTTTGTCAGTGAGTCTGCAGGATGAAAATGTACAGTAAAAGAACATAGATGTGATTGCTTAACGTATTTTAGAGGAAATGTTCCTGTCTTTCCATACAGATCTTTAACTTTCTGTAGAAAATGAAGACGTTTCCACTACAGAATGTTTTGAGTGCTGAAGATTGTCAACCCACGTTGAGGTGTGTTCCATTTTCAGTATGAACTTTCTTGAACAAAAAGGTCAAATAAGTAAAAACAATGCTTTTGCTGCACCTTTCTTCACATTTCACATGCTGTCCAGCACACTGTTTTCCATGGATGGTTTCTTTTGGCTGCTCCCCCCAGAACCACAAGCTCAGGGCACCTCTGCCCCTGTGTTTTTGCTGAGCTCTCACCCTCTCTGCTGCCTTGAATTAATTGCAGTGAAATACAACACTTGCACCATAGTTTCTCCTTGTTAACTCTTCCACATGTTTTTCCACTTCCTCTTTAATTACCTCATTGCCAGCCTGCTTTCTATCCTCTGTGACTGGCCTCAAAATGAGTGGAACCATTTTGATCGCTGCTGTTGTCGGCTTCTGAGCATCACACTCTGCTTCTCTGTTCCTTTTTCAGGACAAAAGCTATTTCCTATTTTCAGGACAAAGGCTGTTTCCCACAATAATACACATTAATAACCTGCAGAGAACATTTCCAGGCTCCATACCCAGAGTTTAATGCTGTGGGCATGGCAGAAGTCCCCCAGGAGCAGTCCTTGATGGTGGCACAGAGCTCACCTGCAGCATCCCATTGCCATCACCAAGTTAAACCAGGACAGCAGAGCCTGGAGACATTCATGTGGGCTGTGCTTTCTGCTTAAAGGCGCTCGGTGGCATCCCTGATCCCCTGTGAATTCACAGTGGCATTTGAATGGGGGTGGAAGACCGAGCTGAGGTGCTGCCCTGGGTTCATATTGCTGTGTTCTGGTGCTGAGTTTGGGCCCACAGAAAGCAGAACTCCTCCTGGCTCTGCTCACAACTGCTGCTGGCACGTGGGGGGGGCTTCGAAGCTGGGAGAAGCGGATCGCTGGGGTTAATTTAGTCTGTCATTAAGTGACTTACAACCCACGTGTGCGCGGAAACTCCAGCTGCATCGAGCTCGGCCGCCTGATTTCTGGAAGCATTACAAGCCCTCCAGGGAATCACTTTGCTATTGTGCCCTCCTCTTGAATTATTACTGAAGAAAACAAAGCTACCGTTCAGCTCACCGCGGGGGTGGGCGTGCTGCTGCCAGCGAAGGCCGATAGGAGCGGGCAGCGACGGAGCTGCGGGTCCCTCCGCTGCCGCGGGCGGATGGAGCCGTCCCGAACCTGCAGGGGCGGGCGCTGCCACCAGGGGGCGCTGCAGTGCGCGGCCGGGAGGAGCTGCGGGCGGCGCCGGAGCGCTCGGTGCCCGGTGTGCGCGGTGCGTGCTGCGCGGTGTGCGCTGCGCAGCCATGAACAGCATCAAGAGCGTTCCCGCACGGGTGCTGAGCCGGCGGGCCGGACACAGCTTGGAGGCGGAGAGGGAGCAGTTCGATAAGAACCAGGTGAGGACGGGAGGCGGGGTGTCCCAGGGTCCCGGTGGTGGCGGCGTTCGTTCCCGGGGAGCGGCCCGAGCCGAGGGGCAGCGCCTCCGGGAGCTCCGCGTGGGGCCTTCCCCGGGGACGGGGCGCCGGGAGGCCGTTTCCCCGCCGGCGGGAGCGCATGGGGAGAGTTGTACGGCGGTGTCAACGGGAGCACGGCCAAAACCCCGCGGCGTCCCGCGTGTCCGCCCCGCGCTGGGAGCCGTCCCGCAGCCGTCGGGGATGCCCGACGCAAAGGCGCCGTTCTCCCGAGGGACGGCCGTGCTGTCCGCCCCGCGTCCTCCGCCGCTCTGCTGTGCGTCGCCGGTACTCAGCCCCATTGCCCCATGGCACCGCCGATCCCTCCCCGTCCCGTCGGCTGCCGCGGTCCCGAAGACCTCCGTCCGAGGGCCGGTGACCGTTCGGGGCAGTGTACGGCCGCCGTGCCGGGTGGGAAGCGGCATTGTTGGGTTTGGGGAACAGCACGAATAAACCTGTAATTCCGGTTCCTTCGGGACGCGTCTCCTCCAGCCGTCCCGCCGGGCAGCGCCGGGAAGTAACCGCGGTGCGGAGAGCGCTGCCCGGGTGGGAGCGTCCCGTGTTCCCCCCGTTCTTCCTTCCGTCCCTTCTGGCTTTGCCCCGCTTTGCCCGAAGAGCGAGAGCCGCGTTACAGAGCCACGATGCCCTAAAAGAGCTTCGTCCTAAGCAGAAGCTTCCCAGCATTGCTGTATGGTATCGTTCCGCCCCGCTGTGAGCCGGTGCTCGCAGGTAGCGTGAGGTTTGACCGGAGCCATTTTATGTCTGCGATGTGATTTGCTCAGAATGCTTTTTGGGGTCGCACTGCATCGGTGTCAGCATCTGCCTTGGAGGTGAGACCCTGCTGTCCTCTCCGGGTGCTCGCTCTGCAGTGGCATTGGAGGCAAAACTTTTGGTTTTGGTGCCCAACTTTTGCTTTTCTTGGCTACGTCTGCCAGAAGTGTTAGGGTTGTGTCTGCTGGAAGGTTAAGACCCAACGTGCTGGGTCATCCCCCAGAAACACGGCACATGTGAATGCTGAGCGGTACTGTTCTGGTCCAGATGTGGAGTCCTCAGAACAGAAGGGACCCAGACTTGCTGGAGAGCAACTGGAGCAAGTCTCCAAAAATGATCCTTGGGATGGAGCACCTCCTGGGGATGCTGGGGCTGGGGGAAGCTGTGGGCGGAGAGGATCATGCTGTAATTAAAGTGACTTGGAAAGCAGGGGTGGATGTAACCTGCGCTCCTTCTTTTGGATGCTTTGATCCCGGTTTAGTCACCGGCTCGGTACGCCGGGGCTGTGAGTAAAGTGCTCAGGGCTGCACCCATGGTGGTTTTGTAACCCACAGGTTTCAGAGTCTGACCCGCAGCCATCAGCACTGGGGTGGTGCTGGGGAAACTGTTTGCAGCTGCATGAAGGTTTCAGCTTGGCTGTTGGTGCTCGCCACCGGGATGTTCCCATCTCTGACCTTCTTTTGGGGGGGATCCTCTTGACTCAGGGTTTGGAGCCAGCCCTAGGATGCTGGCATTGGTTTGATGTCACCCTGGTCAGTGGGACTCATGTTGGATGTGACATCTCCCATCACGGATGTAAAGTGGCTCAGATCAAATCTCAGCACTGAATCATCCCTTAGGAAGGCACCCTCTGGAGCTCCCAGGCTGCGTTTTGGCTCGGCAGGTTCATGGGTAATAAGTTCAATGAAATCCCAATGGGGATCACAGATTTTGGGGCAGGTTCCAGCCTGTGATACCAAGCAGTGAGGATGTGGGATGGGGTTTGCTTTGTCCTGGACCTACGGGGCTCCCGCTGGTGATTTGGGATGAGCTCTCTGTCACTCCCGTGCCCAGCAGATGGCTCAGCCCTACTGCCCCTTGTGCCGGTGCCTTTTTCCAGGCACTTGAGTCTCATTAACCTTCGAGTTAAGAGGATTACGCCAAGTCGCCGGCTTAACTCTGCTGCTGCTATACTGACCCACATGGCAGGTTAACGCTGGGGCTGCCCCCAGTGCAGGAGAAGCAAAATCACTGCCTGCAGCTGCACAGCTTTCCTGAGGATGCACAGCCATGTGGGGCACCAACACCTCTATTGCACTCTTTTTGCTGAGAAGGAGTGACATGAACTGAGCCTGTACCCGATCCTGGGGCTGCTCAACCCAGAACGGTGCTGGGGATGAGGATCCTCATGTGGGACCAGCTCTATATGGCAAGTTCCTGCTCCTGGCTGACACTCAGTGGCACAGTGCTGCATTGGGTTTCTCCCGCCCCGGTGACACAGTGCCATGCATGCTGCTCAGAGCTTGAGCTCTATGAGGTTTTACAGCGTGTGTGCAGGGAGGGACTGTGTTTTTCTTCCGGCACGAGTGCCGGCAGCCTGGCTGCTTCCTGTCCTTCTGGCCTGCTGGTTTTTGCTGCACAAAGGGCTCACAGCTGTGGGCACAGCCCCAGTTCTTGTGCAAAGGTGAAGCAGTGAAGGGAAGTCAAATTTAGAGCTGGAGGAAGCGACTGGGCCCTATTTTTTGAATAAAGCCTTCATTTTAGGGTGCGATTCAATGCATTGGTATACAGGTAATCCTCTTGATAAAGCTACTCCTCTGTGAACTGCATTGCTTTGGTTTGTAGCATCACAGCCACTGCTCCCTCCATGCTCAGGGGCCGTTTTCCTTTTCCCTGCTTGCTGTTCTCACGCAGGGACGCCTTCAAAGCTGTGGAAAAACACCCAGTTCAAAGGCTCCTTGTGATTGCACAAACAACCCAGGAATGTGGCATCGCGCTGTGTTGCCGCTGGCAGGGAGCGTTGCTGAGCTCAGGCTGCAAAGTGCCACTTGTTCTGTGGGACAGTGGAGGATATCTGTGGCTCCGAGAGCAGCCTGGCCCCGGCTGCTTTGTTCTGCATCAAAAAGCCAAATACTGCAGTCTCGAATGTTTGACAAATGGAAAATTCAGAATATTTTCCAAAAGCCCCTGAGCGCTCGGGTTTCTCCCAGCTGGCAGAGCTTTGATCAGGGGGAGGTGGGTCCCAAGGGTTGTGGCACTGCTGACACCACTCTCCTTCTCCCGCAGGCCATCAGCATCAGCAAAGCCATCAACACACAGGAGGCGCCGGTGAAGGAGAAGCATGCACGCCGTATCCTTTCCCTCAGCCATCTGGGTGGTGCGGGAGCTCCATCCTCACCTACAGGGAAGGTCTGGGGCCTGCAGGGCTGGGGGAGGATGGGTTTTTCCATGGGGTTGGCCTTGACTGACGGAAAGGGATCATTCTGGGAACGCACCACGAGAAGGGCGCCTTCACCTTCTGGTCTTACGCCATCGGGCTGCCCCTGCCCAGCAGCTCCATCCTCAGCTGGAAGTTCTGCCATGTCCTGCACAAAGTCCTGCGTGACGGCCACCCCAATGTGAGTGTCCCCTCCCAGAGGCTGTGTCCCTTCTGTAAGCTTGTAGATGACACCAAGTTGGTAGGAAGCCTCAATGTGCCTGAGGGTAGGAAGGCCCTACAGAGGGATCTGGGTAGACTGGATTGATGGGCTGAGGCCAATAGGATGAGCTCAACAAAACAAAGTGGGTGATGGGATCACCGTCCCTGGAGGTGTTTAAGAACCGTGGATATGTGGCACTGTGGGACGTGGGCATGGTGGGATGTGCCAGTGGTTGGACTTGGTGATCCCAGAAATCTTTTCCAACCTTCGTGATGTTGTGATTCATAAATCAGCCTGTTGCCTCACAACTTCAGAACCTCCCCCTGCAAAGTCCCATGTTGGGGGCTGACCTGTCCCCTCGAGCTTTGCCGTAGCAGTGCGAGGGGCTGAGTCCCCATTGTCCTGTTGTGCCCCCAGGTCCTGCAGGACTGCCAACGGTACCGCAGCAACATCCGTGAGGTGGGAGACCTGTGGGTAAGCAGACGGGAGGAGCGGAGGTTGGTGCCGTGCTGGATGTGGGGCTTCCTGGATGAAGGGCTTTGGGTTGGGCGCTGAGCCCTAAGCATCATATGCATGGGGGAAGCTTGCAACCACCTGAAATAACCCACAAGAAGGGGCAGTGGGAAAGGGGAGAGCTGTGGGGCTGGTGCAGGTTGACCAACACCCACGGGATGGATTCATCCACTGCTTGCCACTGCACTCGACGTTTTTGGCATCACTCCAGGTTCAACTTATTTCCCCCATGTCTCCTGCAGGGCCACTTGCACGACCGCTACGGGCAGCTGGTGAGCATCTACACAAGGCTGCTTCTCACCAAGATCTCCTTCCATGCCAAGGTGAGACCCCATGCTGCATCTGCACCACTGAGAGCTGTTGCAGGAGCAATTAGCGGCAGCCACTGTTCTGTTTTCCTTTGGCACAGCACCCCGAGTTCCCCGCAGGCCTTGAGGTCTCAGATGAGGTCCTAGAAAAGACAGCAGGCACAGATGTGAATAACATGTGAGTGTCCTCATGGGGTGGGGAAAAAGATCTTGACGTGGGGAAAAGCATCCAGGAACAGTGGAGTCCCACAGGGGCACCTGCAAGCAGTGATCTGTAGCACTGATGTGTGTGCAGCGCAGTGATGGTGTTGGTTTTTGGCAGCTTCCAGCTGACAGTGGAGCTCTTCGACTACCTGGACTGCGAGCTGAAGCTGTCAGAATCAGGTGAGGAGTGGCAGCAGCTCCTTTCTGGCCGCTCCAGGGTTCTTGAGCAATAGTTTCACTCTTTGGTCAGGAAGAAAGTTTGTCTGCATCGTTCCTCTTCCTCCTCCTCTTCCTCCTCCTCTTTCTCCTTGGTAAAGGCATGGAGATTTTTGCTCTGTAGAAGTGGTTTTAGGAAAATATTTAAGAAGTGTGGCTATTTTTAGCACACCTGAGCCACGCAGGGCGTGTCATGCTGCTATGAAATGCCTTTTCCTTCCTTTTCAGTGCATTACCCAAATCTTTTCCACCCACTGGAGGAGAGGATGGGGGCTGTGCTACTATATAAATATTCATTGCCCCATGTTTAAATACTTCTGGCAGCAGCCCCTGCCAGTGTTTGCTTCTCTTGTCTCATTCTCTGGGAATTTTTCAATGGCTTAAAAATGTGCCATTCCTTCCCCTCCACCGTCAGTCAGGAGCACAGAGCTGCCCAGGGGAACAGGGTGTAGGGGAGGGGCCAGCTCCGTTAGCCACCCGCGTCTCCTCCTGACCCAGTTGTACAGGGAACTGATATTCAGAAGTACTTGAAAGCTGAGCAGGGAAGGAGTCAGCCGATGCTCTGGCTGGATGTCTGCCCGGGGAAGGGATCTGTTTCTGTGCTGGGCAGGTGAGGCTGGGGTGATCCTGTCCCAGCTCTTTGCAGGATTAAACGGACCAGAGCAAAACCTGTTGCTTTTCCTGCTTGCATAGTGTGCTATGCATAGCTATGCATAGTGTGCTATGATGCCCACGCATCATTCCAGGTTACACTCCTCCTGTTTGGGGTTGGGGTGTGCATGGCAGAGCTGAGCACCCTTGCTTGCAATGCCACCAATGTCCCTTTAGGTGTTTTTCTTGCACAGAGTGGGGTTGTTCCCAGCTCAGCACAATGGATGGTGTTTGTCTGTCCTGGTTAATGATCAAGCCAGTTTGACTGCGGCTGGAAGGCTCTGCAAACACGTTCCTGGCACTCACTGCTCTCTCCTCTCCAGTTTTCCGGCAGCTCAACACCTCCATGGCAGTGTCACAAATGTCAGCAGTGCAGTGCCGCCTGGCACCCCTCATCCAGGTCATCCAGGACTGCAGCCACCTCTACCACTACGCCGTCAAGCTCATGTTCAAGCTGCACTCCTGTGAGTCCCCAGTCACTGCAATTCTACCGTGGTCACGTGGGGATGCCCTGCTCCCAGCCTGGACCTGGCTTGAGTCTGGAGGGATGTGGGTGCATGGGAATAAATTTGGGGCTGAGTTTGCAGCCCGATCCATCCTCACTGTCCCTGTTGCCACAGGTCTACCGGCTGACACACTGCAGGGCCACCGGGACCGCTTCCACGAGCAGTTCCGCAGGTACCCAGGGCTGATGCAGGGCAGGGAGATCCTCTCTATCTCCTCTGCCTCCTCTTTGAGCCATTTTTCTTTCCTCCCCCTCTCCAGCCTCAAAAACTTCTTTAAGAAGGCCTCTGACATGCTGTATTTCAAGCGGCTCATCCAGATCCCCCGGCTGCCCGAGGTGTGTGATGCTTTGAGAGCCCTTGACTTTGGGATGCATGGGGGTCTGCTCACAGCCAGGACGTCTGGTGGTGCTGCAGAGGGGCTCCAAAACCCATAGGGATGTCACTCTGATGCTCCTGTCCCCACAGAGCCCCCCAAACTTCTTGCGGGCTTCGGCGCTGGCGGAGCACGTGAAGCCGGTGGTTGTCATCCCTGAGGAGGCTCCTGAAGACGAGGAACCAGAAAACCTCATTGAGATCAGCACAGCCTCCACCACAGAGCCACAGGTGAAGGGGGATACAGGGATGGGATGGGGACATGGTGGGGAGGAGACCTGCAGTGGGAGCAAGGACTCATCCTGGCACCTTCCATCCTCCCCAGGTCACCTCAGATATCTTTGAGCAAACCTTCGGGCCGCCCAACGGCATTCGGGATGACAGGTAAGGGGGGATGGTGGAGGGGGAAGGGATGGGCATGGCAAGGTGCCAGCCTGCTGTCTGCAGGGATGCACAGATTGAGAGCCTGAAGAGGGAGGTGGACACACTCCGTGCTGAGATGGAGAAGATCAAGCTGGAGGTAAGGCCGGGTACAATGCTGTAGAGCTATGTGGTGGAAATCCTAATGGGACATAATGGGATTGGGGCATGCAGCCCTGGTACACCATTTTGGGTCCTCTCCCATTGCCAGCACCCAGCTTTTGAGGAAGGATGTGGACATGTGAGACCCATCCCTTCGGGATGCAGCTGCCAAGGGGAGGCCTTTGGAGCATCTCACAGCTGCTGTGCCCAAATCACAACCTGGGGGGATTTTGGGGGGTTGCCCGCAGGCACAGCGCTACGTCACACAGCTCAAGGCACAGGTGAACAGCCTGGAGGGAGAAGTGGAGGAGCAGCGCAAGCAGAAGCAGAAGGCACTGGTGGACAACGAGCAGCTCCGGGATGAGCTGGAAAGGCTGCAGCAGGCAAAGCATGACAGCGAGCGGTCCCTGCGGCTCTGCGCTGAGGCGGAAAGTACGTGCTTGGTGCATTGGCCACACAAAGGCCTGGTGACCATGTGAAAGCCCAATGGCCACGGGAGGGCCCATCATTGGGCACTGATGTGTTCTCATCCTGTCCAGAGAAAGCCAGTGCCACCGAGATCCGCTACACGAAGCTGAAGGAGAAGCACAGTGAACTCATCAACACTCACGCTGAGCTCCTGAGGAAGGTAACACTTCACAGGGCACAGGTGATCCCTTCATCTCCCCATCACTGTGCTTAACCTCACATTGATCCGTCCTCCTGCACCCAGAACCCCTCAGCATCCCTCACATCAATGTCTGTGGGTGCATCTTCCACTCCACCCCAGCAAGAATTTGGGCAAGAGGAGGGAGGGTGGGGTGCCATTGTGCTGGGGGTCACCTCTCTGCCATCCTGCTGAGCCCTACGTCCCTGTGCAGAACGCTGACACAGCCAAGCAGCTGACAGTGACACAGCAGAGCCAGGAGGAGGTGGCACGTGTCAAGGAGCAGCTGGCGTTTCAGGTTGAGCAGGTCAAGCGGGAAGCGGAGCTGAAGGTGAGCCCACGGGTGGTGGGTGGTGGCAGTCCCAACTGTGAGACCCCGAACTCCCTGCAAACCATGTCTGGGCTCGTTCTTGCTGAGCCTGGGGTGGGTGATGGGTTGCAGCTGGAGGACCAGAGTGTGCAGATGGAGCAGCTGCGGCAGGAGCTGGAGGCACGGCGGGATGAGTTGGACCAGGCCCAGCGCTCGCTTGGTCACGCCAAGCAGGTACTTGCTACAGCTGGGGGCACAAACCTGCTGAGCCCAGTGCTGAGCGGCTGAGGTCCCTGCAGGCAGGTGCAGCCCATTGGTGTCAGTAGCTGAGTGTGTTCTTGGCTCGCTCTGTGTAACCGTGGAGTGGTGTTCAGTGGGTGATGGGGATTTCTCGCCCTGCTGGCAGGCAGGCACGGAGCTCAGCGCCCAGCTGGAGACCCTGCAGGCTGAGAAGGAGCAGCTGAGGCGGTCGGTGTGTGAGAAGGAGCGCGAGCTGCTCTCAGTGCACAGCCTCGTCCAGGAGAAGGAGCTGCAGCTGAGCCAGGAGGCTGACAAGGCCTCCAAGGAGATCTGCGAGCTGCAGGGCAGGCTGCTGGAGAAGGTACATGGCCATGTCCCTTGTGTCTAGGGGGATGCTGAGCACTCTAGCTGTGTCTGCCCATGCCTCCTTTTCCTGTCCCACAGTGCAATCAGGAGCAGAGCTTGCAGCAGAAGCTGCTGGATGAGCAGTTCAGTATCCTGCAGGAGACAGTACAGGAGGCTGAGGGCATCCTCCGTGATGCAGTGGCCAAGCTGGATGACCCACTGCACGTTCGATGTACCAGCTCCCCGGGTATGTCCCACAGCTCCTCTGCCTCCAAACTGATAATGTTGTATCTCCATTCCTGCACATATCTCCCACCAGTGGTAAACTCTGGACTCAGCATTGTTCTGCTGTAACAGTACGAGTTTTGGTGTTGCTCTGTGGCTGGGACCTCGAGGACTTGAAATGCTGCCATTCAGTGGCATTTTATGGAAATAGCCCTTGTGCTTATTTGGATGCTTGTCAGCCTGAACCTGCTAATGTTGGGATATAAGGAAGAAACTCTCCCTAATGAGGGTGGGGAGGCTCTGGCACAGTCTTCCTAGAGAAGCTGTGGATGCCCCATCCCTGGAGGTGTTCATACATCAGCTTGGATGTGGTTTAAAGCACCCTGATATAGTGGAAGATCTCACTACCTGCTGCAGGACAGTTGAAACTAGATGGTCTTTAAAGGGTCCCTTCCAACCCAAACCTATGATCCTAATGAAGAGAAATTTGTTGCAGATTACTTGCTCAGCCGGGCAGAGGCAGCACTGGAGTCCACAGACGCCCTGGAGAGCGGGCACGCGCAGTACGTGGCCTCCATGGCAGGTACCTGGGGCTTGGAACTCACAGCATTGCTGGAATCTTGCTGTCATTTTCATGTATCCAGCAGCCCCCAGAGGTTCTGGGGCTGTGCAGTGCCCATGGGGGTGGGAGGACATGGACTAGTGTTGGTGTGTCCCCATGAGCTCATTCATGGAGCCACCTGCAAGCTGGGGAGGGGTCACTACCAAGCTGTTGGGTGCCTTTGTGGGGTGGCAATGCCCCGGGCTGTCTGTGTCTGACTGCGTCCCCCTGACAGATGCTGCAGCACTGGTGGGTGCCCTGGCCCTCTTTGCTCACCTGACAGCCGACACCATTGTGAACGGTAGCGCCACATCCCACCTGGCTCCCACCGACCACGCTGACCGTGAGTGAGCACAGCAGGGACTGGAGGGGGTTGTTCTCAGTTTTTGGGGCTGGATATGGGCCAGACCTTCCATAGGGTTCTCAGGCTCTGTTCCTTGTGGTACCACTTCCTGGGTTAAGCGTGTTCCTTTGTTCTTGGGCACCATTTGATCGTCTTCTGCAAGATATTTGTGGATGTCTCATCTCTGGAGACATTCAAGGCCAGGTTGGATGGAGCCCTGGGCAGCCTGATCTGGTGGGTGACAACCAGCCCATGGCAAGGAGGTGATCTTAAAGTTCATCAAGCTTTAACCCAACTTACACCATTTTATGGTACAATAGCTCCACAGCTGGGAGGAGGGTGACAGGGCTGGGATGTGGGACAGCAGAAACATGGGGCCCATTGCTGACCTGTCCTCTCTTCAGGGCTGTCAGAGACGTGCCGGGACTGCGGGCAGCGCAGCCTGGACTACCTGGGCAAGCTGAAGGACAAGCAGACGTTGGGATGTGCTGAGCTGGGGGATGTGCGACAGGCATTGCGGGGCGTCCTGGGGCTGGCCCAGGTAGGGGATGGGGTGCTGTGCTCTGTGGGGCTGGTGGGGTGGGTGGCTTCTTAGGGATTTCCTAAGGGAAGAATCAGAGCAGGTGATTTAAAGCAGTAGGATCTTTCCAATAACATGCTGTGAATTCAGATGCTGTCAGCTATCCGGAGCCCTGCCATGTTAGCTGTGCCAGAACTATAACCTGTTGTTGAGTTTTGGTTTGGGACATTTTCTCCCTCTGAGGTCCCTGTGCTGTGTTTGCTACCAGGTGGTGACACGTGTGCCTCTGCCCTTGCTGTCTTGCAACTGTATTTGTGTAGGGGGAAAAAACAAGCCAAATGCCTTTTTGGGGAGTTTATTCATTATGAATTCTTTCTTCTCTCATCTGCTGAAAACCTCCTGGCTGCTGCTGCCTCCTCTGGCAGGAGCTGAGGCCGAAAAGCTTGGACATCAAGCAGGAGGAGCTGGGGGACATGGTTGAGAAGGAGATGGCTTCCACCTCTGCAGCAATTGAAGACGCTGTCAGACGAATAGAGGTGAGGACAAAGCCATGGAATGGGCCCTTAGGGCAGCAAACCTTTAATTTTCCCCCAGTTCCTCCTCCCCTCTTGCAGCCCTGCTTGCTGCAGCATGGTGTCCCATGTCTCAACAGGACATGATGAGCCGGGCCAGGAATGAAAGCTCTGGCATCAAACTTGAAGTGAATGAGCGGTGAGTGCAGGGGGTTCTCATTTGGATGGCAAGGTGCTGCTCCAAAGCCCCGCATCCACTCTGAAGCTGCATCTTCATGATGCTCAGCATTTCCTTTGGAGGGTGGGCCTTTGTATTGTGCATCTGAACAAAAAATTTTGGTGGCTTCTTCATGAGTTGCTTAAAAGTAACCTTCAGGCAGGCTGGGTTCTGGAGGACCCAGCTAAGTCCAAAGAGGGCTCCCTTGAGTGCTGTGGCACGGTATGCTCAATGCTTTTTTTTGTTTCCCTACAGGATTTTGAACTCCTGCACAGACTTAATGAAGGTCAGTTCTGCAAGAGCTGAGCTTCTCTTCAGGGGATCAGAAACCATGCAAAAATGTCACTTAAAACCACTGGTAAAATCAGTCCTTCTGTATAAAATCCCCATCCAGCACCTAAACTTGTTCTTCCTCATTCCAGGCTATTAGGCTTCTTGTAATGACGTCAACGAACTTACAGAAGGAGATTGTGGAGAGTGGTCGGGTGAGTCCTCCCTTACATTCACCCCTGAGCACTGATGTGAAATACAGAATTTTGCACAATTTGTATTAAAAAAAAAAAAAACAAAAAAAAACCCAAACAGCTGAATTTTGCATGTTCCCATGTTGATGACATGTTTGCAGTCCTGCTGGTTGGAGTGGGGCTGCTGAGCCTGGTGCACTTTGCAGACCTTGTTATTGCCTTTGTCCATTGAAAGATGATGACTCAAACGTTGCTGCGTTACACACAGCCTAAATTTGGAGCCCCAAACTTGTAACGTTTGGGTTTAAGCAAGCCAGTAAGCGCATCCTGAAGGGCACAGAAGTGCTGCCAATCCCTGGACTTATGGGTTTATATATGGTGTTCTGTATTGTTAGATGTAGGAATTTTTAATATAATGTATGGATTTTTATATGATTCCATCAAATCATAGAGTTGTTTGAGTTGGAAAGGGCCCATAAAAAGGTAAAAAGGTCATCTAGGCCAACTCCCCTGCAATGAACAGGGACATCTTCAGCTCGATTATGGTTTTATTATATGCATATATAGTGGAAAGAAGTTAAGATAGGCTGTAATATTGTTGTAACAACAGGGGGCAGCAACAACTCAGGAGTTTTATGCCAAGAACTCCCGCTGGACCGAAGGGCTGATCTCTGCCTCCAAGGCCGTGGGCTGGGGAGCCACACAGCTCGTGTAGGTACCGCAGCACGGCATGCAGACAGTGCTGGGCTGGGGATGTTGGGGTCAGGGCACAACATTCCTGAGCTGTGCGAGTGGGGAAAGTGTGGGGTTAGTTTGGATATCGATGTCTGAATGCCATCAGTTGATGATGAATCGATGCTGATTCAGTCAATCAGTGCTGATTTCTAAGGGCATGGTGGGATGCACATAACCCACACTTGTTGTGCATCTATAATGCGATCTCCCTTCCAACTGCAGGGAGTCTGCAGACAGAGTTGTCTTGCAGACAGGCAAATATGAAGAGCTGATTGTCTGCTCCCATGAAATCGCTGCCAGCACGGCCCAGCTGGTGGCTGCCTCCAAGGTGAGCATCCTGCTGGTTCAGCCCTTCTGTTCCCATGGTTGATGGCTGATGAGTGATGAGCTCTGGTCCTTACCACCTTCCCATTTGCGGGATGTGTAGGGATTTCAGCAAGCAGAGGGGTGCAGGGTTTGAGGGAGGAGGGCTGAGGCTGCTTTTGATCCAGATGATGTTAAAAGGAAAAGCATTGAAAAAAAAATTCTGCCTGCACCCATGCTGCTTGTTCATATATCCTTAGCTCACCTAAGAGCAGAGGTGGCTTGGTGTCCCAGGCTGAAGGGGGTTGCCCTGTCCCTGTGAGGCTCAGCAAATACATCCCTCCTTTTTATATCCACCTGGTGTGATGTGTCCCTGCTCTCAAGGGTTTGGCCACTTTGGTGGCATCAGCCAGTCTCATGTTGGGAACCTGCAGCTGTCAGAGTTCTCATTGCAGGTGAAAGCAGAGAAGAGCAGCAGGAACCTGGGCAAGCTGCAGGAGTGCTCCCGCAACGTCAATGAGATGGCAGCCAACGTGGTGGCTTCGACCAGGTCGGGGCAGGAGCAGATTGAGGATAAAGGTGAGGTTTAGTAGAGCAGGAAGAAGGGATGGGCAGAAAAAACCAAAACCCTCTATTTCCTTTATGGCTGGCAAATACTTCCTGCTTTTCTCCAGACACCATGGACTTCTCGGGCATGTCCCTCATCAAGCTGAAGAAGGAAGAAATGGAGACACAGGTAAAGAAAGCCTCATAGAATCGTTAAGGTTGGAAGAGCTGTAAGATCACCAAGCTGTAAGATCACTGCAGCTCACCCACCATCTCCCTCAGTGCCTCGTGTCCCTGAGGCGGAGTGGGGATGTGGGGACCCAGGTGGGCTCTTATGGTGCAGGTGAAGGTGCTGGAGCTGGAGAAGTGCCTGGAAGGCGAGCGGGTGCGCCTGGGTGAGCTGAGGAAGCAGCACTACGCCTTGGCCGGGCCCTACGATGTGGCGGAGGACGGGGAGGCTCGGCCAGCACCAGCCCCCAGAAGAGGCATCCTCAAAAAGCCAGCCCTCGCCCAGAAACCTGGCCACATCCCAGGGCCAGGGGGGGAGGTAGGAGCTGCAGGGTGTGAGCACAGAGCTGGGGACACGGCTGTGCTACAGGAGCCATGAGCTGTGTCCCCTCTCATTGCAGCCCGAGCGAGATGCCAGCCTGCACCGGGCACACGCCGTCAACTTCTAGTAGGATGGAGGGGGCCAGGCCTGCGCCATCAGAGCTCTTACGTCTGTGTTTTAAACAGATCGCCTTGCCTCTGGCGTGCCTTCGTGCGTGGGGGTCTCCTCCTCACCCGGCCTGAGAAACTGGAATTATTATTTTTCTTATTTTTTTCCAACCAAAAACTTGATTTTTATTTTATTTTTTTTCCTCTCAGTTCCTCTCCATAGAGCAGCCGGGCTCCCAGGCCTCACGGGATGCCAGCCCTGCAGCTCGTTTGGTTTAATTTAATTTAGGACTTATTTGGGTTGATTTATTTTTATTTTTTTTAACTTTATCAGCACTAGCCGCCTTCAGTAAATGTAGCTCTACTGTACTGCTCGGACCCTTTTGAAGAATGTGAGGTGTTTTTGAAGTAGGAAACTGTTGGGCTTTTCTTGCAGCTGTATTTTTTTTAACTTCCCCTTCAGGAATATTTTGACCTCATTTTGGTGTGGGATCAGCAGAGGGGAATGTCTCTTTTTACTGGGCTTTCAGAAGGGCGAAAGCAGTTCCTGGCACACACTGGCAATAAGGATACAAGCATCTTTTTATTTCCTTTTCTATTTTCTATTACTACAGCAACACCAGAGGAGCAGTTGCATCATGTTTTATATTTAAGATAATTAGCAGAATTAAATCTAAATGTGGCCTGCAGGAACACAGGTCCATTATATGTGGTGAATTCTGCAGCAGTAAGGAAACCGATGTGAGGAGACGTGGGGGCACAGGAAACACAGCTGGCTTATCTTCTCTTTGAACTGCTACTGGATGTAGGTTATTAAAGCAGCAATATTTAAATTGTGTGCAGTGCTCTGTCAGCAGCAGGGTTGGCACTAAAGTGTGGGCTTCAATTTGAAGGGCAACAGGGGAAAGTGGGATGCTGCTGGCAGCCAAGGGTGAGTGGAATTGTAGCATCACAGGGTTTTGAAAAGACCTCTGCGAGCACCAAGTCCAAATCCCGGCCCAACCATTGACCCCATCCCTCAGTGCCACAGCCCTATGGCTCTGGAGCACCCCGAGGGACGGTGACCCCACTATCTGGGGATAGTGGAACTAACAAATACATGTCTGTATACAGAAAGATGCCTGAGAGAAGGTGAGCACAGTGACCAAGGCAGGGTCCTTCAATCATAAGAATAATAATACAAGAGAATCAACATTTCATCCCGCTCTTTGCAAATCATGATTCAGGCAAGTCCAAGTTGAAACAAAACAAAAACCCCTACGACTCAGTTCACATGATTAACAAAAGGCTGTAAAGCTGTTGGTTGGAATTACGAGTTGCTCTATCTAAAGAAAGAAGCATTTGCAAGGCATTTTATTATTTATTTTAGGCCCTATCAGCCTCCTGGCGAGCCAAGCCTTCCCTGTTCTGCACCACAAACCACATTATGGGGTTGAGCAGCCATTGGGTGCCACGCACACAGCAGCTCAGCTTGGTTTCGTTTCTGAAACCTCTGCCCACGAGGAAATGCTTCCTGCAGCAGTTTCTTCTCTATTTATAGGCAGTGATAAAGGTGTATTTGCTGAGAGGCTGATGTCATTCTGACCTCTCATGGTAGTACGTTTCATCATGGAAATATTGATTAGCCAAGAATACGAAGTTCTTAAAATCTCAGGACCATCAGCCTAGCCATAGCCCCACTTAGTGGTTAAAGAACTCCGAAGTATGGTAAAAGGTGACTTTAAAACAGTGCTGAGGGTGAGTGGGATTTTGATCAATGCTACTGGTTCATTCTGATTTACTGAAAGCAATTCTTAGGCTGCACTTAAAGTAACCCATGCAGGCACGTAGAGCCTTAGAAAGTAATAGTAAAACCAAGCCCCAAAGGTCACTTAGAGCATCACCTATGCCATTATTCTACCTGTGGAACGAGGGAGATACTTGGAACTGTGTACCTGCAACAAAGACAGTGGAAAATCACCAGAAGAAGGATGTGAAATACTACATTTCTTCCCTTCTGCCAAGGTTGGTTCTGTACGACATTTTGTTGTACAGGTTTTGCCTGAAGCAGTTTTCCAGCAGCCTCATCCCAGAGCCCTCCTCCCTCCCCACGCACCACTGGGGCTGCAGCCAACCCCTCATAACCACAAATTGCTTTGGACACGAGCACACAGAGCAGCTCGAGTTCAGTGCCGCTGAGAGTGAAATTTAAAAAACACCCCTCTTTCTGATCACTGGCAAGAAAAGGGCACTGAAATTAAGCACACCAATAGGAAGCACTGCTCTAGGAAGCCAGGTGAAAGGCAGCTTTGTGAAAACGTGTAAACAGAGAGAAAGGGACAAACCTGCGAAAGCCTTGTGTCAGGGTTGAGTAGAGTAATAGGCAGCTAGGGATTGCAAGTGTACAGAAGGGTGTGTGTGGGCTTGCACAGCATCCAAATCCATCTTTCAAAGAGAAAGGAGGACACGAGATGTGAAATACTGCCCATGTACCCAACACCACACAGCTTGCACATCTGTGCCATTCCATTTAGTTACCTGTGACACATCTGGGTCCCTCCAGCATCACAGCACACTGTGTGACTTCTCCTCCGGGGAAGGAATGGTCCCATCTGAAGCCCAGCCTCAGCACAGGCACTTCCTGAAGCTCGGGGTGCACCTCTCAGCCCCACAACACAAAAGGGGCTGCCGTGAATTCTTCTAAGAGCTGTGAAGGAGCTGCGACTTTTACATAACAGCACCTCCTCCCCTCGCCCACCCGACTGAGTCAGCACGGTTTGCTGTATCTGTCGTTTCCTATTTCGGTGTTAGCAGGAGGTTAGCAAGTCTCCACAGCCACCACAAATGGAACACATCAAGAAAAACATTTTTAAAGGGATTTTCTTCTATCTATTAACATCAGTTATTCTGCAGGAGGACTTCTATTCTACACCACTATTCAAGTGACAGATATTACATCATGTTCTTTCTGCCATCTGACTCATATTCCTAAATAACTTTGGTTGACTCATTTCTCCTAACTTGACTTGGCTGAATTCTTTTTCCTCCATTAACAAAAGAAAAGCAGGCTTCCCCCTTTTCCCAGAGCAGGAATTCAGATGCTTCCATTCTAGGTAATGGTGGGAAACAAAAACAGATTCCAACTTTGCTACGACTGAGATGTACAGAATCTGAGTATACCTGTCCATTATCAGTGACACACCAAGTGGACTCACTATAACCAACTGAGCAATGGATTTGTTATGAAGTTATTTTCCTGCTAATTTAAGTTCCGCATTCACCTACTGCTGTTATCTTACTAAATACACACATCATCAGTATTAAAAAACATGAGCCTACACAATTAAATGAAGCCACAATGGAGCGTGACACCAAGAGAGATACGATGTTTTATTTAAAATCAGACCACAGTAGATTACAGAAAGACTTATTATGCAAACAAATCCACTGTACATTTCACAACTCGCCAGGCATATAAAATTGCCCCTTTATTTGACTGTCCAGGATTACACAGAGGAACTGTTCAGGTGCAGGACAACTCTGCCTCCTCTGAGCTCAGTGTTTGCCAAGTAGCTCCAAATTGTCTATGTGAGCTCTACTTCTTTCCAGTTTGAGTGGGCAAAGAAGTCCAAAAGAGGCGGAGGCTGAGGTTGTGGACATGGGGGCACACACAGCCACCCATGAGCAACTGTGCCCAGGGCCCTGCCTCCTGGAACCACACAGCTCTTATCCTAAACAGTCCCTCCAAGATCAGTGGCACAAAAATGACCCACGTGGATCAGCTTAGTCAGACCCAGCCTCCAAGGGACAGCGTGGAAGTGCAGAGAATCCTGGAGTTTGAGCCCTTCAATGCTGATCATTATTCAAACCCCCTTCCCCCCAAACAGACCCCCCTCCCCAAAAAAACAACCAAAAACCCAACAAACAAACCAACAACCCTATCTGCATATAATTGAATTAGTCATAACTTAGAAAATCTGCATACAAAAAGACTGGCAAAAGTAATGCCATCCAAATAGAGCATTTTCAATGCTACCAACACTCTAAAGCCGTGTTACACATCATGTTTAAAAGATTTTTCTCCACTCCAATTGCTTTGGGGAAGTATATGCTATTTGCAGCAGACATTAAGAATCCTCGAGACAACATAATATATATTTTGGCAAGCATACTGAGCCAGCCCCCTCCCCCCAAGTCTCTGCTTGCCTATGGCATTATAATCTATCTTATCAACAGTGCAAATTAGTACAGTCCTAAACATCCTAGCCATAGCAGAATTGATTAGCTCTAACAGAACAGGAGAAGCTGTCAAAGGGCAACAGTTGAAACCACCGACACACCTCTTGCCCAACTCATTCACATTAGTGTTTCTGAAAGGGTTTAAACAGCTTTCCACGATCATTTTTCTCCTATACCCTTAAACATCACCAGCAGTCAAGTATATATTTACAGTTTGTGCGCATCCACACGCAATTAATGGCAAAACATCTTCTGTGAGCAGCTGGATTTCAGTTATGGGATTGCTATAACTGAAACATCACATTAGTTATATCACCTATGTTCAAACTAACCCATCAGTGAAGGCAACTATAAGCTTACAAATAGCAGATACAGTTTTTTCCTAAAGTACAAGGGTGAGAGTTTCTAGAAGAAAAGTGCTCTTGAAGAGCCCTTAAATCAGTTAAGCAATGGCTATTCAAATGATAAAATATCCTAGTATTACAATCACAGGTAGTGATCCTAAGGCACATCAGCCACATGCATATGCAACAATGCATTGTTTTGCTCTCTGACAGAAAAACTGCATTAGCTTTGTCTGTATTTAGTTAGCACAAGAGTTTGTTTTTAGATAAAGTATCCCTGAAAGGTCTCGTTATCACAAAAGTTACCAAAAGACAGAAAATTTAACAAGTCGTAAAAATACTTTTGAACTACTAACACCAATAAAGTTAGTTACATAAAATGCAGTGCAAAATCACAGTACACTTACCTATCACCTCTGTGACTTCTGAGGATCTGCAACTCTGAGAAAAAAAGTTGGCACTGGAGAAGTGTAAAATATACCTGGCTGTTTTTATTAAATGCTAGCAAAACTGATTGGAGAGTGTTGTAGAGTTGGTGTAGGAGGCTCCACGTATGAATTTCTGTACTCAGTCATCACCCTGGGAGCTCCTAGCCACCTTTCTTCTTCCTAGGACACAAATCCTTTCTACAGCAGATTTATGTTTAGCACTCAGACACAACAGCTGCCATCCAAATACCAGCACTAATAGCACAGCAAAATTATTTTGAAACATGTCATAATTAACCATGCTTACACAAAGCTTCAATGATAAAATGATACCAAGAAAAGAAGATACACTATTTTAAAAAACACATCTTGTACCATCACTAGATTACAGAGAAAACACACTTTGCAAACAAATCCAATGCACGTTGCTTCACAAACTCCCCCATCTGCAGAAACTTTCCAGATTTACACTGGGGAATGGGTTTAGATGCCAGTAACAGTGACCAGCCTTCTGCCCTTTGTCACCAGAAGGCAAAGCAAGCTAAATAACCGTATTTTCGGAACAGACAGCTTCCTGTTATGAGATTAATTTCAGATTAGTACTTGCTTGCAACCACCACACTCCAGAGGAAATGATTAAGGGACAATCTAGGGCTTTACATAAAGAAAAACAAGATCAGATGTTCTATTCTGACTGAAGCTGCTTGTAGTACAGTCTTCTAAACTATGCAGTGTATTCCAGGACAGTGATAAGAGTGTTTTAAATTATAGAGAAGATATATCACAAATTCTGGATGATGCCTTTCTTAAACTGCCATGAAGTAGTCGAAAGTTTTTTTTGCA